CACGCCTACCTACCCACCTGAAACAAATCCAGACCATTCTGGTAAAGGAGAAGGAAGCGTTTGCAGATATTAAACGCCTGGCTGGAGAAGAACGTCGACTAAAATTCTAACCCCAACAGAGGTCATTGCCCTTGGCAACGGACTCAAATGTATACGAACTCCACCTAAGCCAACCTATCACACTTTGCTCAATGACATGTCCATGCTATCTAGGAGAATGCGTGTCAAATATTTAATGCGCAATAAACAATCTCAACAACATCCTTTCAAAATGAAATCAACATGGAACCCACCAGACTCGCATAACATTAGCCTCCGAAAATTACATTGAGGCAACCAAAGTTGAGATATCCAACATTACTACCAATAAACCCTAACAAAAAATTAATTCTACCGAAAGAGCAGCAATAAATAGACTACATCATGATAACACAATTGTAATAAAACCATTCGGCAAAGGTCGTGGCATTGCAATCATAAATACAACTGACTATATATATGAAAGCCTTCGTCAACTAAACAACGAGCAACACTATACTACAATTAGTGGTAACGATACCATAGTTACAACTAATTTGATCCATGAGCTCGTTACAGAAATTGACAATCTGGAATTAATCGATTACGACACGTATAAATATACAAAGTTAGAACGCCCCGGTGGTATTTACTGCATAAAGTGCACAAACCACCACCAGAGGACAGTATATTCGTCGGTAGACCAATAATCAATCGGTGGTTGCTCTGGCCCGACAGAGAAAATATCAGAATTGATTGACCACTTTTAAATTCTAAGGCAACATACATACATAAAAGATACTATTGATTTTATTAACATGGTATGGTAACGATACCATAGTTACAACTAATTTGATCCATGAGCTCGTTACAGAAATTGACAATCTGGAATTAATCGATTACGACACGTATAAATATACAAAGTTAGAACGCCCCGGTGGTATTTACTGCCTAAAGTGCACAAACCACCACCAGAGGGCAGTATATTCTTCGGTAGACCAGTAATCAGTCGGTGGTTGCTCTGGTCCGACAGAGAAAATATCAGAATTGATTGACCACTTTTAAATTCCAAGGAAACATACATACATAAAAGATACTATTGATTTTATTAACACAATCGAAAAAATACAAGTATCTGAAAATAACGTCCTACTAACCAAGGTATTAATGTATACTGATACTGTTCACGAAGAAGCGATCCGAGCAACCGCTAATGCAATGCAATCGAATTACAATCACAGTGATAGTCCTTTGAAACCACTACCTTTGGAATATATAATTAAACTCCTTGAAATCATTCTGAAAAGAAACACATTCGAGTTTAATAATAAATATTATACCCAAACATGTGGAGTTAGCATGGGATCACCATCTTCACCTGAGATTGCTGACATTACATTCCACCTACTGGAAAATCGAATTTTCCTACTTGGTGCTCGACATATTAAAACTCGGTATCGTTTTCCGGATGACATCTTCATGGTATTCAAAGGTACCGTACCTGAATTACACAAATTTGTTCAGGAAGCTAATATGCTTCATAACACATACCAGCTCACATTTGAATACTGCATGACACAAGTCACGTAACTTGACCTATATAAAGGACAAGACGTCCATGATCTGAATATATTAGACGTGGAAACACGCACCAAGACAACGGAAACGTTTCAATATTTGAAACGTAATTCTTGTCACCCTACATCAGTATTCAAAGGATTTACTAAAGGCGAAACCATTTGGTATGCTCGAACATGTAATAATCTAAACGATTTCTTACATAAAAGTAATCTATTTATTGAAAAATTGCATGATAATGATATCGAAAAGATACTCTTCAATGAACATGACAATCGTATCTCACATTTACATGAATCAATGCCTACTAATGAAGGGCAAACAATATTCACACATTCAATCCGAAACCCGAAACAGCACCATCACACTAGTGAATTACCCAATTACGGATAAATTTGAGTGCTGTATCGACATAGGCTTTCTTCGTATTTAGTTTCGTATTTCAATATTCTTTCCGTCATAGCGCCGTAGTGGCGACAAACATCGCGTGGAATTCGACAAACGCAAAAGTATTTTAGGGGATATTTCCATGCTTAATAATGTGCTGTACACATTTGATGATGGTCAATTTCAATGAAGTAAGGGTATTCCAACGCAATATTCCCCTATCAAAGATCGGCTTTTCCATTTTGAGCTATGAAAAAAGAAATTAGAGTTCAAAGTCAAATTGTTCGATTTTTGTGGCAGACGTTCGGTCCGCGTCTTTCACGCAATAGGCGAGATCTCGCAGTTGAACGGAAAATCACCCATTGTCATATGTTATCCAACTAAATCACCGAAATAGTATATTTCTTTATCGTTAAATTACTTAAACTACATGATGACGTACTAGGTTTTTTTTGTCATTGACATGGCTACATGAGACGAGCGTTTAAAGGGTGGCAGTCGTCGTGCCGCGTCCTGTTCGATATGGACTCATAGCGACGTATACAACGCGTGTAAAATACATTGTTTATTTACATGAAATTCAAACACGCGCTGCGCGACGACCACCGCGCTTTAAAAAAGTTTGCATATTTTCGTAGCGATAAATCAGCACAGGTCAACTGGCGTCCAGTGAAGGTTATTGGTTACCACCTACAAAATATTTTATTCGAATCTGTCCCGGGATTTCATTTAAACCCATTTGATTCCGTTTCTGAGTAAATACCAAGTGCCACAACACATGGACATACACCTGCAGTCTCTATTGCTATATGCAAATTAGATACAATTGTTTTTTTTCCGACTCGGACTTAACTCCGCAATGTGTGTGCGACAACTCTATTTCTCTCTCTCTCTCAGTTGCGTTCTATCGACACTCGCATGATTCAGCCAAGTTCTAAGCGTTTTATTGGTTCAGGTATTCTTTGCTTCATCGTAACAGTGGCGTTTGTAGTTTACAGCGGTGAGTATAAATTAACTCTGATTCACGATATTCTATTATAAGCTGACCTCATTTTTCAGTACGCTTTGAAGTGAATCGAACGAGGGAAAACATAAACGTTTCTGATTCACAAAGTACCAAAGGTCAATTGTTTTCCTGTCTTCGATTGGACAAAAAAGGTATCGGGATTTTGATTTGATCGAATTCGGTATTTTACTGATTAGCTTGGTAAAGGGAAGGAATAGCCTAAAATACAAATTAATAAATGTACTACTAATTGCTAATGACTTTCAGATGACGTGTATGATGTCCTGACGCCAGTTCACTATAAAGACCATATCGGCGCTACGTTGTTGACGTCGGAAAATTATTCTTTGGTGGACTCGGAGCCCGGGGAGTTATTACCTGCCAACATTACACAGACTCTTGTCTCCTCCTTGGTAAATTAGCATTCTTTTTCAGTACTTCTATCGCATAGTTACAGGTGAAGCCCCCGGCTTTACAAATCTAGGTTTTTCATGAGTCACTGCACCAGCTACAAATTAAAATGTCGTAGTCGTGCAGCGCATTCGAATCTCTTGGCCCATAGCGACAAACGTCCTAAGCAGTTTTCTCGCTGACTTAGCAAATTGCGCGCCGACTTCCGTGATACGAAATCATGTTTCTCACCGACTTATCAACTTGAGGTGGCCACAGGCGTTTTTTTTTTTTTTTTTATTGAGCCATATTGTGTTTGCTGTTTATAAAATGAAATGACAGATTTATTTAGCCCCGTAGGCATCAGTTAAGATTGTTTGCCTTCACCCAGCACCGTTTATTAGTAGTACACACACATGTTAGTCAAAAAACACTGACGTGCATGAATCACAAAAAAACAAAAAAACAACACTCATGATAAATTGCATTTAAAAGACTTAAAGCGGGAGG